GAATTCAAAATTAATCCTTCGCTATACTTACGGCAAACATATGCAAATGTATTGACGAAAGGGCTGCACAACATAAATCATTAACATTGACAATTGTCCTATAAAACGAGTCAATAGACTTTGATAGTATTTCGATAGCTAGTCGAGGGCAGTGACATCCATCTGACTGAATAAACTCAAAACCCGACATTTCATTGTTAGAAACGCCAGTAGAGTTGTAAGCTGTGGCGTACCTAAAGACCGAGACCTTCGAGGCAGATGCAGAGGGGGCGGGAGAGCAGACGATGCCATTGCACCCATCCCCGGCCCCTAAATCGTATTAAAAAAAATAATTTTTGTATTGTATTGTTGATATGAATTATAGGTAAGATCATTTGGGGCTGAGGTGGAGTGGACTCTCACGCACCCCCTACCTCCAAATCAATTCTCTTTGTTTCTTCAAATCGGCTTTTTTTAAAGTACTAATGAAACGTGTAAAAAACGTCAACATGCCGAATCCGGCTGCGACTTATCCCATACCCAACTGTGCTCTACCCGAACTAGCACCCAGGGAGGGCACGAAGAAGCCTTAGTCAGAAGTGTTGGCTTCTTAGCCACTGGTTGTATGAGAAATTGTAAGCCATAAACTCAAATATAAGAATGAAAAGAAAAGAGGAATATAAATACAGTACAGTACTTTATTTATTTGAATAAACCCCCCGCTTTGAATAATCCCCCCCCCCCCTCCAGAGCCTTATTTGGAATAAACGCTTATTTTTTCCTCGATTAAACGCCTCTCTAAATGACTGTAAACAAAAATAATGGCAGCAACATCAACCACAAAACATTCTATTAATTTTCTAATTTCCAGTAGAATTAATTTCTTTTCTAATCTGGTTGTGATCAATAGTCTTTATGATCGCACAATAACACATTTTGACTGAATTATATATTGTATTTTCACATTTACAATGAAATTAAAGGCCGTATATTTGAGCGTAATACGTATCCATTTTACTCTTCCACAAAACCCTTTTCAACAATAAACGCCCGGGGCCTATATTTGAATGAATACGGTAATTCAGATGTAGAGTAACAGTAAAAAGGAATGAAGACGAAAAATGAGAAGATCGCATAAATTGTGGGCATACAATATGCAGACCATCACACATATCTGGTGACAAATAACTCCATTAAAAATTATTCACTTTCTTTCGTTTTATTTACGAAACGCAGAAAACAAATTAAATCGTAATAAGCATAGAAACTATACAATCTGAGATGATCGCAGTTACCCTCTCGCTTTTGTTCATTACAATTTCATAACATTTTCATTTATATTATCTGATGAAAACCCAGACACATAAATAAGTCTGTTTTATCACGTAAACCTGTTCAAATTAGAAATCATATATGCCTAGTCAACATGTTGCAACAGGAAAAAATACCTGGCAAAAATAACAGTATATCATCTTTAATCTCAAATCCATCCCACGAGAATGTATTTTAGAATTTTTTATAAGCAATAGGTAACTTCGAACATAAAAATGTTAACAAAATAGTGACGTCATCATCATAAATCTATAGTATACCTATTCACATACAGGCAGAGAAAGAAAAAAGGACATGAAAATTTATACATATTATACACAGAATACATTAAAAAAAACATTGTTTATACATGCGTGCACATGTGTCTGCTAATAAAATGAAGTTGGACTTACAACTTGGCAAATATTACGATTGTAGATCAAAGAATATAACAGAAGTGATCTTAGGAAGAGCATTCTTCAAAGGTATAGCATCTAAATCCATACGATGCAACATAAAAACAAACCCTCAACTGTACAATAACCACCTGTAAAAATGCATGCGTTCCCTGGTTCTCAACCACGGACAGCAGCCCAAACAAATGGACCCTGTGTTCCATATCTTGGACAGCGAGATATCAGGAACATATAAAAAATAATTGATTAAATTGCCAAGATAATAGGAATAATCAGTAACTTTCAAATACTGTAGATGAAAACAAATGCATCTATCCCATGGTGATAGGGCAAGCTTACAAAAACGATAACAAATATGTCATATTCATTATCGTCATTCTTTCTGAAAACATATTTTACAATAAATATACGAGTTGAATATGATCGTTTATTCATATAAAATGCAGATGGTCAATGATGTGGAAAATACACTTTGGAGGGCGATTGACTAATAATTTGAAGATGTAGCCTCCCTATTGATATTTCTGGGGATCTAGGAGGCCTCCAACCTTAAAATGTTTTCACCTCAGCCCCATCCATGGTGGGGCTGAGGTGCTTATCGACTCTCAAACCATCAACATATCTAAATTGGCACCATTTTGAGAAGCGTAAAACTGGACACCCACTTAAACAACAACCAGAATATTGGTGAATGTGACATGTGGATACTGTAATCCATGTCGATATATATTTGATCTATATACACCTATTTGTAACTAACCATATATATAACAATGTATTATAGTTATATATTTAGTTCACACCTGTGTGTATGTGGATATACAAGTACTAAACTAAAGGTACTGCATAGGAAATCTAATAAATAAAATACCAGATAAATTATGAAATTTTTCACAACTTACTAAAAATCAAATTTGATTTTAACTTTCAACAAATAGTGGTAAGTTTCGGTGGCAGTTAGATATAAAATAACAGGATGTAATTTTGAACATGAATGTAATGTACGTTAACAGATAGTTCATTAGCATACGGTAGCCAAAACTTGGATTCTTTAAGTAGAAAATGAAATATACCTTAAAATATATTACACTCATTTTCTGGAGAATATCAAATCTTCCCTTAAGCTCTCTTGACTATCAAATTTTCTTTGACAACAAACTGTTGTATGCCCATACAGTCATGATGTGCCCATATACAGTCATGATATGCCTATATATGGTCATACTGTGCCTATATATGGTCATGCTGTGCCTATAAATGGTCATGATGTAATGTCATCATGACCATAGTTAGGTAAGTCACATGTTTTTGTCAAATAAAATTTGATAGTCTGGACTTCAAAAAGCTGCATGTTTGTCTCAGATAAACACCATAATTTATAATACATGGAACGTACATGGAACAAAAATATGTTAAAGCAGAATTTGTGAGTGTAAAAAAAATTCCTGAAAAATGTGATTATGCCCATATTTGACATCACCATGCTCATATATGGGCATATCACACAAATTTATCATACAAAATTTAATAGTGACGACAAAGCTTTATGCAAATTAGTTGAACAACGCTAGTTCTTCAAAAATATCTGTTATAATGTATCAGTTACCACTGATAAAAAAAAACTAGTGTTCATCAAAAGCTCTCATTTACTTTCCGAATGTTGATCTTATCTTGAAATACCGTAAAACCTTGAATAGAAGCCCAATGGACTTAATCTCGAGAAGAAGCTCATCTAGAATTGAAGCTCCCTCTTTAGTTTACAAAAGTAGCCTTGAAAAGAAGCATATGGGTTTCTTTCCAAGATAACATGGGCTTTTCGAAATAGTACAGTACATACACTGTACATGAATTTCAAAGAAACAAAATAAATTAAAAACATGCTTTGTTTAAACAGTAGTTTAGGTTAATCCACTACATGATATAGACTGATGTTCCAGTGGCCCTATTTATTGTTTTATATTAGTAATTACCAAAATTTACAGCATTCATTTGAAAAGAAGCCAAACCTCTATACTTTGCAAAACTAGCCTTGAAAAGAAGCCCATTCAAAGTTTACAAACCCCCCCCCCCCCCCCCCCACACCCACCAAAAAAAAAAAACAGAAGCCCAGGGATTCTATTTGAGGTCTTACGGTATTAATCTTATACATAACTTTTGAATGTATTTCAGATTGGATTTCAGGTGTTTTAATAATATACCAATTAGTACCTATGCATCCCACCAAGGCACATAAATAAAAAACTTTTGAAATACTTTCAAGCACACATAACATCTTCTGTTTATCAATGAACATTTTTATGAAATAGAAATAAATGTACTTGAATTGAATGAAACCTTATGAAATTTGAATAACAACAATAATAATAATAATAATAATAATAATAATAATAATAATGATAATAATAATAATAATATCACTGAAAATATTCATTTGACACTATATAAGAAACATTCTCTACTAACCTTTGACCATTGATAACCAGAAATCAATTATTATTATTATGTTTTCTGTTTATCAATGCTCATTACTATCTATAATGTTTAACCTGTTGAATTATTGCCCATTTTGCTGACCATACGAATCAGTACAAATTCATCCTCTTTAATAACCAAGAAAATAACTGTTTCAAATGATTTCCCTGAAAAAAATCATTACAAAAACAGATTTTTACTTTCTCCAAGCTGAATTGTCCACTGTTTTATATTTGTTAAATTATAATATCTAATTCCTTTTCAGTCTTCGCTATCACTATCGTGATCATCAATACTGTCACTTGATTCATCATCAACGTCTATTTCACGTGAATTTAATCCCTGTGGCATGTTGTTGGAATTTTTTTTGGCAGTACGCACTGGTTTAGGCATTTTGTGTTCCTCAACAAGGGGGTATATGTCTTCAACAGCTTTCTGTATGTTAGCAACCGATGGAGCTAGAAAAGAACAAATGAAATTGGATTTAAAAATCTAAACTTTAAATGTAATTAAATTATTCTTAATAAAATTAATATACTGTACAACAATGCAGCTTCCCAATCATAACAAAAATGATAACTACAACATAAATCATAATTATTTGATTTCTTCGTGACATTAATCCACCAGTGGCGGATCTAAGAAAAATTGGGGGGGGGGGGGGAGGTGACCATGGAAGGATTTTCACAGATGGAGGGTACAGACCACCTCAGCCCCAACGATGGAAAAATTTATGATTATGGCACCTCTAGATGGCCAGAAATGGCACACTCACACTTCAATTTCAATATAATTTACTTTTTTTCTCCATTTTAAAAAATAATTTTTGAAAGATTTAGAATCTACTACTGTCATACAATGTTCCATTAAACAACTAGAATTACAATATAAAATAATAAATCAACAACACTACTTGGTAAAGATAAAGGTACAGTAGGAGACTAACCCATCCAGTGGAAAAGCCCGGGGCCCCCAGGCAAAAGGGGCCCTGAGGTCTTCCTATTATCTAGCACATTACTATAAAGCCCTGATCACTATATTCTCATGGGCAAGGCTTGATTCTTCCAGCTTAATGTGATAATAATAATATCTCAAATTTGTATGGTGCCAATTCCAAACAAGATTAAAGCGCGCAACACATGTGAAAAGCCATCGGAAAACAAATAGGTTTTAAGCTGTGACTTAAAGTTGCAAATAGAGTAGGAAGAAGTTATGTAATTTGGAAGTTGGTTCCAGAAATAGGCAGAAGCAAAAGTAAAAGAACATTGACCATAGGTTTTGGTACAGCATTTGGAGACAGAAAGAAGGATTTGAGAGGAAGATCGGAGACGGCGAGATGGAGTATATCGGGAAATCATGGAACGTAAATATGAAGGATCCCGGTATCCCGGTGATCCCGGTATCTGTACAGCGTTGACATTACTTTTTAGCAGAGGACATTCAAAGCTAATCCAAGAAATACGAATGATGTTTTTGCTCTTACATGATGTGTTATCGTATTGAATGCTCAGTAAAAATCTTTTTCTCGAGTATTTGGGAATGTACTGAGCATTCAGTACGTTAACACATCAGGTAGGGAAAACAATTGTTCGTATCAAATCTCCCGACGCAAACGCCATCGGAATAAAGCAATGTAAAAAATGTAATTTCCAATTTAAACAAGTAACTGTCCTATGTGGATTACCAGCATGACAATCCATTCGCTGGCCCCTTGACATGACGGTCCAATATATAAAAGCCCCTGCTGGCGCCAGCACTGTCGTGCCTCTGTCTCTTATACACATCTAGATGTGTATAAGAGACAGCCGGTATCCCGGTGATCCCGGTATCTGTACAGCGTTGACATTACTTTTTAGCAGAGGACATTCAAAGCTAATCCAAGAAATACGAATGATGTTTTTGCTCTTACCTGACATGTTATCGTATTGAATGCTCAGTAAAAGTCTTTTTCTCGAGAATTTGGGAATGTACTGAGCATTCAGTACGTTAACACATCAGGTAGGGCAAACAATTGTTCGTATCAAATCTCCCGACGCAAATGCCATCGGAATAAGCAATGTAAAAAATGTAATTTCCAATTTAAACACGTAACTGTCCTATGTGGATTACCAGCATGACAATCCATTCGCTGGCCCCTTGACATGACGGTCCAATATATAAAAGCCCCTGCTGGCACCAGCACTGTCGTGCCTTGTGATGTATGGTGGATATTGCTAATAGAAAAAAAGCCATCTGTTTGGCTTTTTTCCTATCCAGTCAGATCAGTTCTTTAAATGTTTTCGATGAATGTTGTTATTGCACTGTACTACTTTTATCATAATCTTCAAGATGAAATCAAATAAAATTGCATTAACAAAAATAATAATATAATAATTAATAGAATTTGGAAAATCTATCTCTCCAAGAAATAGTAGTTGGCAAATCAAAATTTAGTTACTCCGGATAACGAACAACTCACACTTATATAAGCTTTTAATGTTACTATATTTTTTCTCCCACTGACATCAAAGTGTCAATGTTCACACAATCCCTTTGATTCTTGGAATTCTAATGTCATTGCGGAAATGGGACAATAGAACAGTAAAGCTCATCAAGTGACAGGTTACAAAGTTTTAACAACTAGTAACTTCGCATACCAATCCATGTCCATAGCTGGGGTTTCAGGTGGGAGATTCTTACATATCACTTGCTACAAAATATTGGAATTATATTACATAAAGTATTTTTGTTCTCATCATAATCTACTCTAAATACTTTGCACCACGGTACACAGGCATGACATGCACACGGGGGACCCCAAGGAGGTCTCCGGCAATGATGGGGCCAATAGAGAGTGCCTTTTCCTAAATGGATCAGTCTAAAACAATTTATGATAATTAATATGATGTTGGGAATCGCATCAAAACATTTCTTAGAGATTTGTTGGCATCAGGCTGTGGGAACTGCCATTGATTGTAATTGTTGACATGATGAAAAATTGCATTAAGTCATGTTTGGTGTTGTATCAATAAATTTATTGAGTTAATCCATATATATATATATAAACCAAATTATATTATTACTATTTATAAAACAGTAACAACAATAAATGTTGTGATGTAATTAATATTTCTGTAAATAATTATCCTGTTTTACCTTGTATGTTTTTAAAGCCAAATAAAATAAAATAGAATCAACAACAAATTTAATAATTATTCAATAATGATTACTTATACAGTTTACAATTCATCTTTACATCTGCAAAATTATATTCAACAACAATAATAATTTAAAAATTAAAATCAATTATCAATATATATATATAAATATATATTCATATACA